TCTATTGCAATCTTTTTATTAATATTCAACTTGAATTTTAATCTCTTCGATAAGGAAATCGATTGCTAAGAAAGCAAGAGTTGAGACTAGCAGATTGATTCATATTCTTCGTGAATATAAGTTGATCTGTTTCTCGATTGATTTACCGTTACTAAGAGTTGCTTTATGCAAGTGACTTAGTGGTTGTAAGTCTAACTGATTCTTATTTGTGATTTTTATGATCATTTTAATAGTCCAGTTATTCTTGAAATGCATGCCATCTGATGAGTCCCTTTAGCAAGGATGAAATCGCGACCATGGCTTCTCGACTCACCGCAGTGAACGTTATCTGCCGTTGTTATGGATTAATACTCTATAATAAGTGATCAGATGGTCATTACGGAGATTTAAATCTGCTTGTGATTGTTTTTTTACGATCATATGAACAATCTAGTCTTTAGTTTTGACCAAAGCCATCTGACGAGCCCCTGAGAGAGGACGAAATCTAGATCATGGCGTCTCGACTCACCCTCGTCCTCGAAACACGTCATGGTAGCTTGACGCACATCATCACCCTCAAGATTCGGATCATGGTAACTGGACTCACCCTCACCTCAATTTCTTCTCTGTTGAGAAACTTTAGCTGAAGGGTACGTATTACATTACATTTTTCTTCGTCTTTCTGTTTCTCTCTGCTCTGTTATCGGAAGAGAAAGTTGTTATCAGTATTTAGAGCTCAGTGTCATTGAAAGAAGAGGACAAAGGAGTTTGTTGCTTCCATACTGCGCATTTGCTTTATTCTATTGTGCACAAAGAAATAGTGTCCTAACGTCGCCAGTAAATATCGATTAAAAACACATATAGGTCAATCTGTTTAGAATCACTCAAATTATGATGACGAGAAAGTTACCTGTATTCATAGTTGATAAAGAAGCAAAATGAAAGCGTTTGAGAACTAAAGCGTATCCAATTTTCGAAAAAAAACTATACCGAAAATTTTGTATTTTCATCTTTTTGTTTGAAAATTAGTACGATTGCATTGCTTCAGTTAATCAAAACTTGCAAGATCAAGAATGAACAAACGCATTTTAATCGGTATCGCAGTGTTTGGTACAGCTTTGATTATCACACTTGCTATAGCGCTGCCGTTGGGTCTTCGTCGAAAATCCCCACCTAAAACTCCTGATTTATCTTCGAGCTCCATCAACGCAGATATAAAAGACCCTAAAATTATGGAAATTAATGGCGTAAGCGTATTTGGTGTGAAAGACTTCTCCGGAAATCTTCAGTTGATATATGCGATCGAAACAGATACTGCTATTTATACAATCAATCGTTACCGTATCACTCAGATACGATCAAATAATATTACTCTTCTATTCAACTACAATAGGACGAGTGAACAGTATACAGTCAATATTGTTTCTGAAAATGGTTCCTATGAGATCACAGCTTACTATCAGTCACCCGCTGACTCGTATCCACTGCCTTAATATCAGTTACCACGTGATAGAAATATTTCCGAACCTTTCACCGGTATTGCCATTGATCTCACGGATAGCTTTTCAGAACGGTATATTGTCGATGCTACTTTGCAGATGAACTATCGTGATGAACAATTGGGAAACAAAAGTGCTGTACTGTTAAATGTTGGCGGTGGACGATATTATCTCATGCTGCCTACGAATGATACAAGTATGGATGATTATTTTCAAGTGAGAAATCTTTATGAAACAGTATCTCAACAAAGTAACGCTCTCAAAGAGTTGATACGAGCATATCCAATGTCGGATATTTGTTCAAACTCAGAAGAACAGTTAAAAATCTTTTGCTCTCTTATCGATAAGGACATGACCACTAATATAATGGATGCACTAAGCGTGGCATCAAGTTATGCTTCTAAAATTCCGTTGGAACCTAAATCCACTAGCAATCCAATTAACTTTGAAGCAGTTATCCTGCTGGCAGGGGAAGAGCCAGTAAAACTACCACTTCAAAACACAAAAATTTTGATAATCCCCCAAGATTTAACATTTATTTCCCTGGAAGTTGCTTCGAAGAGAGCAAAATGCAACGATATTACTATTGCAGGTAGCAATACACCGGACGACAGAACCGTAGATATTGGTAAAACACACATTTCGCTCAAGTTTCACTATGAAACGTACACGATCCCTGATCAAATCGATGTCTACTATAAAAATAAACAAATATTTACCTCAGGTTGTGCTGGCACAGAAGGAGAGCGCATTACATCGATAGCGCTCACTGACAGCGAAACAAGCTTGCGTGTCAAGGTAACACCAAATTGCGCTGGGACTAGCAGCACGGGGTGGAATTATAGAGTTGAATGTCCATTTGATAACATGATTTGCAAAAGTGGCACTTGTTCTTGTGATTCTAAAATGAAACCATCTGAACAAATAAATCCACCTACAGTGAACGGGTGCGGGTCTGGGGACGGCTTTTTTACAAACTTTTTTGTTAGTCCAATAGGAAAACTATGGAACTTCACAACAATATGCGATGTACATGATCGATGTTATGGAACGTGTAACACTCCTAAATCAGTATGTGACAAAACATTCTTCAATCAAATGCTGCTTTCGTGTGACACTCGCCCGATAGGGATTCAAGCCTTATGTGCTGCAGACGCGTTCTTATTTTACGCTGGAGTGCTATTGGGTGGTACAGGTCCCTTCTTTGATGCTCAGGGGGAAAGCTGTTGGTGTGATCCCAATATCATATTACTTTCGTCAATTAAGAAGGAGAATGATTTGTACGCTTAACATACAAATCAATGTGCTATTCTTAATTTTTGCGTTTTAGCAATCAATCCTTTATCAAATTCGCATAATAATATAATGGGTGTGGGTGTGAGGGCGAGGGAGTGGGTGTGAGGGTGGCTGTGAACAGAAGCCAAGACGTGTTTTGTCCCCGCTACAGGACTCTTCAGTTAGCAAATAATCTCCATGATTAAATTAAAATAAATTTAAAAAATCACAAGATTAAACTATACTGTTATATAGAAATTTTTCAAAAAGAAAAATGATCATATAATGATAGTATCAATTCACAGTGGTGCGAACAGCAGCCACGACGCGTTTCGCCCTTCCTCGTGAAAGGACTCATCAGGTATCTCCGAATTCCATTATTACGTAAAGCAGAAACTCATTCAAATATAAATTAGAAAAAGTTAAAACTAAGACAGAATAATAAGAAAACACTTGCTATCAAATATAAAGTTAAGCTGATGAATAACAGATGAATCTATCGTTTATGGAAAGGACAAATCGATGTCGTGGTCTGATTTCTTATCCATCCAGTAATCAATGGAAAGTCCAAGAATAAATTTAAATAGAATAGATATTAATATGCTTAATTAAAGGAGGAGGGGGCACTTTGTACACAAAACGGCCCTAAATGAAAATCAGTTCAAAAATCAGTTCTAACTAAGATTTGGCGCTGTAATGTGTGTGAGTACACGATTCTGAGCTTTTACAGGACATTTTCAAAAGGTTTTAGTCTCCGTCTACAAACAGTAGATCTCTACAATAAAACATACACTGCCGCGACTGTTGTAGCAGCCAGCAATACATTATACAGATCCGCTAATAACCTGCAGATAGAGTTTTCCAAGGTCTACACAACTATCATAAAACATCCAGTAAAATATGCTGTGCTCGATAGTTCTTGAACAGCATACTATCAAAATTCTATNACCTACAAAATGGTCATAAAATATCCAATAAAATAAGCTGTGCTCGACAATTCCTAAACAGCATACTATCGAAATTCTATGGAAAGACGAATGTATGTTATAGTGTGGTGCTTACGATCTCCGTTAGTGAACTAGATACCACCGTGATTTTACCAGCGGAAAGATAGGCGATCGGGTGCTTTAAAATATTCTGAGGTGAAAGGGTATGTAGGGTTCTTCTCAGGGATTATAAAAACTGGGGGAGATTTGTTTATGTTTTCGCAGCGTTTATGAAGTGGTCGGATTGTAACGGAATGAATATTGAAAGTATTTTTTATGTATATGCTGCTTCAGAAAATGGGTAGGTGGCTTGCCAGAGAAAGGTGTCAAGACTGGGATGCTCTAGTTTAACCGTGGTTTTGTGATACGAGCGTAAGAATCCTTTCTCATGAGGGATTGTGCGGTAATTTAGAAGGAGTGATGAAAGTTGGATAACAAAGGAATAGCTAATGTGACCAGTTAAATGTAGTGGAAGAGAAGATATTTGAATGGGGAGGCGTAAGTGGAGAAGATATCTGAGAGAGCGCGTGAAATACATGCACTGATGTTATTTCAGAGAGAGAAAAAGAAAAATGAACTGATGAATTTTATGAGAGATTCAGAGAGAATATGTATCATATGGAGAGTGATTCAGAGAATTTCTTTTAGTGATAGAGAATAAAGAGAGAGATTATAAGTTATATGCGTTTCATTGTTAATTCTTTCAATTCGCATAAAATGAATTTGAAGAAGTTTTGTGCGTGCGTCTGTTGTGGTGATCGCCTTACTCCGAGCTGTCGACGCTCTCTGAAGGGAAAATGTATTCGACTTTTTGATGCTGCACGTTTGTTTCCAACTTCTCTGCCGGCTGATGGCTACATTTGTACGAAATGCCGTTTTATGTTTAATCAATGGACAGCTCTACCAGAATTTTGCGATGCGCTGACCACCATCAATAATAATCATCAAGCAGAAAATTCCGTCACTAATGTGCTCAGTGACGAAAATGAAGACAATGGCACTGATCAGCTGATTGATGATACATCAAGTGTGGCTGATTCGATGGACGATGGATCTATTCGTGTTCAAGCAGCGAATGCATCATCCAGTGATAGCGAATCGATCTATGATTCAACTGCCACTAGTGATCAAGTAGACGATGAAGAATTTAATTCGGATGAAAGTAGCGAAGCAGTAAGTGTAGCTGGATATATTTTATCTTTATTTAGTCTAACTTTTTAGATGGATACAATCCCCTCAGATGAAAATATCGATGAACAAAGTATCGAGGTTCCAATTGAAGTTTCGGTCTTTTCAAAAATGTAGATGCTGAGGATACAGACAATTAAGTACTTTTTGTTATTTAGTCAATGTTGTGTTTGCAAAAAACAAATTGTACCTCCAACGGTGACTATTTGCGAAGCAGATCGCACTGAATTGTTCATTCGACGCCACATCGAAATACCTGCAGGATCCCGAGGCTGCAAGCTACACACTGCCGATAAACGTCTGATACCTGAAGCGTTCCAGTCTCTGGTACCACACAAAGTGCAATATCGACTTTTTTCTCGACAAACGCTTATAAACCTCCTTAAATCGTATCGTACACGACTCAACAGTAACAAACACCTTGATTTTGATGAATGCATGTGCTTGACAAATGTTGATTACATCAAGCTGACTGGATTTACTCGAGCTCAGCATGCTCATATCTTGTCACATATACCTCCAACATCTTTGAAGAATTCAGCGGCAAGGTAAGCTCGATCTGCTCTGGCGTATCTTTTAATGAAATTAAAACTGGGCTTGAGCGATTCGGTTTTAGCATCTATGGTCGGTGTAGACAACAAACGCCAAATGAGCCGTATCATATGTGAGACTCGAGTTGCGATCACTAAGCACTTCGTACCTTGCTATTTGGGTTTAGCTCACTTGACACAGCAGGATGTTATCGACAAGCATACATCACCAATCGCAAATCGTTTATTGACTGAGGGCCGAGACCCACGTATACTGGTACTCAATGGAACCTATCTATATATACAGGTAACATAAGTCACGAGCATTTTCAAACTAACAGTTTCTTTTGAAAAATAGAAAAGTCGAAATAATGCAGTTCAACGCAAGACATACAGCCTGTAGAAGAAACGGTCATTGGTTAAGCCCATGGTTATGGTAACCACAACTGGGTATATTGTCACAATTTTTGGACCATTCTTCTTCGACTTTCATAACAATGACGCTTCTATTCTGAAGCATGTCATGCTCAACAACTATGAAGAGATTCTTAATTGGACCAAGGAAAATAACATCATGATTTTAGACAGAGGCTTCCGTGATTCTCTTGGCGTACTAAAAGCTCTTGGGATCGACACTGTGATGCCTTCGTTTTTTGGTAAAACTTGACGACAATTCGATGCGTACGATGCCAACCGATCACGTTTTGTCACGAAACTACGTTGGATGGTTGAAAGTGTCAATGCACGGCTCAAAAGATTCAGATGGTTCAGTCAAACCATTCAAAATTCATCTTTGCCATCCGTTCCTGATTTATGGCCATTGTAGCAGCACTTAATAACTGTTTTCATGTACCCATGGTAGTAGCCTCACCCGAAGATGATGATATAGTTCGACGTATGAATCAACTGCTCTCAAAAAGCAACATCTTGCATGAATGGTTTATCCAAGATAATCTGCAGCGACATAACGTTTGGCAATGTATAGATATTGACAATTTATTTGATCCATTTCCTGTCTTATCTCTCGATGATATCAGATCTATAACTCTAGGTATCAAATTTTTCGATCAAATCTTCGTTAACCTCTAACTATTTTTCAGGTGTCTACCAGCTGAAAAGAGCAAAAAGTTATGCTGAAGAACACAACGACTGTACTGAACTCACGGATCCGGATTTCGATCTGCACATAAATCATGCACCTATCATACATACATTCAATTTGACTCAACACAAGTTATCGCATGGTATTGTACGTGCATACCAGGTCCGCAAACAGTCGGATGTTGCTCACATATTGCAGCAGCTATTTGGTTTCTAGGTTACGAACGCGCTCAAAGTACTACAAACCGACAATCATCATCAACTAATACCACAAACATTCAGTATGCAGACGATATTTCAGATTTTGAACCGTCTTCGGATGACGAAGATAATAGCTATATCTATACATCAGAATGATATACATATATATATATATATATATATATATATATGAAATTTTTCTTCAGAAATGAAAGTATGAATAACGATTCGGCTTGTTTAATAGAAATTCAAGATTGATAAGTTCCATCCGTAGCAAAGACCTTTCTATACCCTTGTCTTCCTGTGCTTTTCACATATGATTATCTGTCAGTTTAACTTTTATATATTCTAACCAATTCAATACTCTTCATATTACTCATGCGATCTGATTTAAACCGACCAGGTGATCCAATGGGGATAGCGATTGTTTATTTAACTTCGACAATCTCGGTATCAGGGATGATGATGAAAAGGACGTCCTATAAGACGTTTGGCTCTGAATCCAACACACTGACCAAATAGGAAGGGACTACTGCCCAATAAGCTAACGATACGGATGTCCATGAAAATCATCTCATACGATCCAATGCACTACTGAAAAGGATGCCGTAACAATATATCCACTAGTATCCAATGCAGTATAAATAAGGATGTCCATAAAAATATCCAATCCTATTCCGTGAACTGATATTCAGACACCATTTTCTCCGTCACTACACGATAAGCAACTACAAATCAAATCTGTTAAGCATTATATTCAGCATTCTCGACGCAAACAATAATTTTTCCATACACTTTCGACAGTATGCTGTTTAAGAATTGTTGAGCACAGCATATTTTACTGGATGCTTTATGGTAGTTTTATAGATCTTGGAAAACTCCATTTGTAGAGAAAAAATGGCGATGGTATCTGGTTCAGTACTCGAGATCGTAAGCACCACACTATAACATACATTCGTCTTTCCATAGAATTTCGATAGTATGCTGTTTAGGAATTGTCGAGCACAGCTTATTTTATTGGATATTTTATGACCATTTTGTAGGTTTTGAAAAGCTCTATCTGCAAGTTATTAGCGGATCTGTATAATGTGTTGCTGGCTGCTACAACAGTCGCAGCAGTGTATGTTTTATTGTAGAGATCTACTGTTTGTAGACGGATACTAAAACGGTTTACCCTACTTTGGTCGAAAGGTAAAAATGTCGAAAGTAGAAATGTCGAAGGGTAAAAAAGTCGAAAGGTAAAAATGTCGAAAGTAGATATATCGAACGAGAAAAATGTCGACAAGAAAAATTTTCTAAGTTTAAAAACAACGAAAATAGTTGTATCAAACGATTGGTAGATACATTTATATAATGATTATAGTTATTGGTTGATTACGTTACCCACATCCTTTCTGCACTTGAATTCCTGTCTTTGTCGGCTAAAATTTAACAAAGACGCCTTTGCCGTAAGGATTATAGAAAAAATATTCAATAGTAAAACTTTGCTAAACAGTATGTCGATTTCTCCGGNCCCCCCCGCCAACTTTGGAAGTTTTTGTTTCAATTTTACTCCGGTTTGAAGAAAATAGAAGAAATTTTTATTAATTTACTCCGATTTATGAAAAAAAACCTCCCGTTTTCAAGTAACCCCCCTATATTTTTGTTGCTTCGCACCGTCCCTGCGTCGTTCTCTTTTCCAATAAAGCGTGAGCTAAAAGACGGCTAAGTATGACGCCTTCTTTTCATTTTATATTAAATTATTGTTTTCAAGTCATTCATTTACATTTTAGATTCGATTGCGTCGTTTGAACCATGTATCTTATTCAATAATAGAAAAATCCTATAGATTTTTATTGCCATATTCTCTTAAATTTATTCTAACAACAAACTTTTTTATTCAATTCTAAATAAAACTTCGTATTCGATTCACATAAAAATATTCTTAGCTCAACAAAGATTATCATCTAAAATGTAAACTATCTAACGTCAGCATAATCACGAAGAATGAATAGTGTAAATGAAAGACAATATACTTTAGGAATCGGTTTCAAAAGAATAACCTGGAAAAGTATTTGATATCTTGCTTTTTTTGGAGTCTTCAATTTCAATATGAGCATTGCTGAAAAAAATGGATTATTCAAAGATAGAACAAAGATTGTTTCAATTCGTTGCTGAAATCGATTTCAAAGAATTGTTTGCAATGAAAAAATATACAGAACTGCCATAAATATATAGAACTTATGAAAAACGATGATTTGTCTACCATTCACTGAAATAAAACGTACGATTGTCTGTGTGCGAATATTTACCCAAATGAAGTGCAGACTAACACCCATATACCGTCCAGATATTTTCAACAAATGTCTCCACTATGAAATATACAGTCAAAATATTGCATCAAACTAAGATAGCCATTCTTACATACAAATATAGCTCGATTACTTTCGTAAGCATCTTACACAGTTACACCTCATTCGTACAGAGTCGTTATAACTTATATTAATGCTATAAGTATTTAGACATTTCAATGCTACCGATAGATCCGTTCCCATGATCGTGTACCATTTATGACAAGCATTATGAAATATTTTTGATTTGACACTCGTCAACAGAACCGAACAATCTATGACATGAAAATAAATCTTCAGTAGTGTTCACAAGTATCAAGCAATAACAAATATTTCTTGTTGTTCATCGAAGTTATTTCATGGTATCAAGTTTCATCGTATGTCAACAACAGTTGGACTGATTTTTGTTGTGATGAATACAAATCGTATACTCTATATTAAACAGCTTATTCAAATAGTAGCTCCGGGTTCGACATCTTTCATTATCCATAAAATCATCTCACCCACATGTACTTGAAATAAGGAATACAATTCTTTCAACGGCTATTTGGATACCTCTGATTCGTCTATTTAATTCACTTCGTCTTTTATCCAGATGGGACTTTATGCAATTAAGCGATGCCATTCTATTATCAATCATTTAGTGTAATCAATGAGAAAATATCCCATCTACTATTTAGTTATACTGCAGTCATTCCACTGATTATGTTTTCTGAAACTGACTTAATATGAAAAATATCATTTCAACTGAAAATATGAGGTTTGTTGATATCGATTGATTGTCTCAGGCCGGATCAATAGGCTGCAATTGTTTTATTTTTAAAAAATAAAATTTAATTTTCAGAAAATATTTAGATTTTTCAATCGAACAAAACAAAAAATAAATATCGTAGTAGCTATATCTTGTTTTATGTTTCTCTCATTGACCGAACAAAGAAAATCTATCTTGACGCATATAAAGCTGGAGAATTTCAAGAGCTGCTCGACTGTTGACATTTTTTCAATCACATTTCATTGATTGTAGCTAAATTTAAAGCCAATATCGTCACGTAATCTCACGCAGAAAATGAAACGATGATGCAGAATTCATTTTGTCAATATATTACAAGTATACTTGACAATTCTCCATAAAATTTTGCAGCTACTGATGGACGATGAAGATTTCAAAATAACTGTCAATGACACATTTGGTAAGTAAAGAAAACCTTGTTCGATAGATTATAATCAATTCTTCTTTGTTATTTAGTAAAATGCAAATTTTCTCAATATTAACTTAACAGTTACACCGTGATGTTCGAAATACAATTCCACATTACCAAACATAATAATAAATCATTGATAGATCACATTTATATTTTACAAGTATGATTTTGCAAAATTTACTGATAAATAGAAACTGTTGTTAGGGTAAAATATTTTTCTCATAAATATCATCGTCTATAATCTTATGGAGACATTGCGAAAGCATCTAGGATTAATGTTGACGAGAGAATTAAAAACTCATTCTATTTAGTCATACAATTATGATCGCATATGTGTCAATGTTAAAAATTTCGTATTCCGAAAAAGAATTTATCTAAACACTAAATTAACACATTTTTATTGTTCGAAATTCTCTAAATGAGTTTTGAATTTGAATTTGCATTCAATATCATTTATTTTCATTTCTGAATGGCAACAAATATAATCGCTTATTATATACTTTAATAGCAATTAAAGTAGTCATGTAGGTTTTGACAAATCTCAATTTCAATAGAAAAAGGAAGTTAGTCAGTTTTAGTCTATCAACATTATTTTTTGCATATATGACGTCGAATATTTGATTAACTCGATTTTATTTTGTGTTCTGTGAATTATAATAAAAGAAAAAACGTAAATTATTCCTCGAAAACTTATCAGTGAATAAATGACACCATATGAATTGACGTGAAAAAAATTGCCAAAACAAAAAAATCGTAACAAGTTGCTTTTTGCTATCGACTTATATTTTACATTAGAATCAAAGTCCAACAATCAGCGACATCCCGTGAACATTTGTTTTATGAATGGTTACTAGACGAAACGAGTCATTGAAACAGCTCAATGACTAATGAATTTGAGCATTTGACATCTTAAGCACAACATGGACTCACATCAATTGTAATAGTAGAATTTCTATTTTACATGAAATCAATATGGACTAATGTAAGAATCTTCTTATAAATTGAAACATAATTTCTCTCTTGCTTACTCGATTTGTCAGTAGTCTTGACATGTCAGATGTAATTTATTTATTTCATACGTTCACAGAGATTTTGTTTGACACCCTCACCCTTTTTTTTTAAAAAGAAATATGTCAATAGCATACAATATTATTTTGTTTTTACGTGCCTATCGAAGCAACACTCATAATAACCGAATACGATGCTCTATCATTGTGTCAATTTCAGTATGTAAATTAACTTGCCAATTTTTCTTCATTCTGTGCGTACGACGCATTGCTATTACTCTGTACTCTATGTCAGTATTCAGGCCTGTGTACATGGATAGGAGGAGTCGCCTATGAGTCCGCGATCGTTATTTTTTGCATTCCTCTTTCATTTTCAGGTGAGTAGAAAAAAACAGAAAAAAAACAAAGATGATGATTTAGAATAGACACAACTGTATATCTAATGACGGTACTATATAAATCTTGTTTTCATTGTGATGAAATCGTGCCTATAGCATTATAAATATATTTCGATGAAATACACGGATTTGCTTTAGTATTCTTAGAGTAGTTTTCATCAAGACAAGACAGAAAGTTACCACCTTCATTTTATTTTCCTTTTTTCTCTCCCATTATCGTCGCTGACATTGATGCCAACACGAGTAAGAACAATAGACGATTTCTCTCAGCAACAGAAAAAGACATACTATATGATATGAGTCATGCCCAAAATCAAACTATAGAACCACAAATAACAATGTTGTTAATGTATGAATGATGAATACAACAAAATGCATATATGTATGGTCTTTCTAGATAGCGTATTAATCACATGACTGACGAATTCCGTGATTGCTTCGTAGTAAGTTTCTCATCAGTATTTTTGATAAATTTAATATTTATATTTTAGGGCGAAAAAGGTTATGATGCCTTAAAAAAGCTAATGAGAAATAGCAATGAATTTTGCACAGAGATTGCCAATTGTTTACTGGATAGGTAAAATTTAGGAGAAGAAGAAAACAAAACATGTTTTGCATTTTAAATGGTTCAATTTTAGAAGTGACGCTGAAAAAGTGTACGCCAAAGCTCTTCGAAAAAATAGTGATATAATGCAGAAAATTGCCGGTCGAACAAGAGGGTATAGCAAACAAATAAATAAATAAATTGTCGTCGAAGAAAATATCACTTTAGGACACTTTCAAGTGCATTCAAAATGCTTGCAACACAAACAAATAGACAAAGTGATGCACATAGTGAGATGGCAAATGTACTCTTAAATGATATTTTTACGTCGATAAAAAATCTGGCTGATACACAAAATCGAGAAAGACGAGCGGTAAATTAAGAAGGAAAAATTAATTTTTTTTAAAATTTCACTAATTAAGATTGAAGAAACGATGAATGCAAAATTTAAAGAATGGAATACCCAAAAAAATAATGATAATAAAGTAAAAAAGAAAACAAGATGATTTTGTTTTTTGTTCTGATTTATTTTGATCATTTAATTTAGTTTCGTTCACGTCAATTCGAAAAATCTGAAGAAATCGAAATTCTATATCTTAAACTGAGTGAATTACCTAAAAGCGGAAGAAAACATGGCAGAGACACGGTAAAGGTGAGAGAATTATAGTATTGACAAAAATAAATTATATCCTATGTAGGAAAATACGTCGGCTCAATTGGCTAGGAGCTGTATTATGCCATCCGGACGTAGTACCAGTGCTTCTGAAAAGGTGCGAAATAATTTTATAAAAAAAAAGAATCAAGATAATATTTATTGTTCTGCTAATTCATCGCTTGCTTTCACCACAAGGAATACTGTGTGAACTTTTTTTCATGTTCAGTTGGTTTTTGTTTAAATTTATTCCATATGAAAAATGCTAGCAGTCTAGATTACTCTGAGCTGTATTTATATATTATTACTATTTTTGAATGAAATCAATACTTTTGTTTTTGTTTGACTATAGAGTATTTTTTAACTTATGTTAAGTTTAATTCTGCTATTTTCTTTTGTGTTAGTCGATCTCGAATTCCGATGACAAGTATCAGGCAAATGTAAGCTTCGCATAACTCGCTACGCTTCCCTAACTAATATAATAATTGCTATGGATCATTTGTATTTTTCTTGATTAACATAAATCTGATTTTGGCGTTCTATTATTCATCTGTTAATTTTGCTTTCATACAGATGGAGATGGATATTCAAAAAGCAGACGAACAATTGAAAGGAATAGAAAAACGATATCATGAATCAACAAAAGCTGTGGAATTAGCACGACAATCGTGTGCTACTGAACTCTGCCGAGTAAATATTCAAACGAATTCTATGATGAGTTTCACACTTGCTTATTTTCTAGAGTTGCGACAAAGCACAAAAAATGGAATTAGATAGAATTACTGAAATGAAAAATTTTACTCAAAGTTTTATTAATTCAATTCAAAAATTCTGCGAAACAATGTACCAAGTAAGTTTATTTAAAGCAAAAAAATTCTAATTGTTGGAAATCTATAGAAATATTCTATCCAAAAATTGTCTGCTGTCTTATTCATCGTCAGAATTGTTACTATCATCAAATTATTTGCATGCTCATACATAGACAGATATTGATCTCTGCATTATAATCCGTTTTGAGTACTTATGCTTTTCGAAATATTATCATTGAATAGAGTAAACGTGAATTTTATTTTCTTGAGATTATAGATCTCTTCAGTTTTATCGAAATAAAAACATCCCTATCGTCTTTTTTCGTTTGGTGTTTTATCTTCAAAACATTTCTTACTCTACATTCAATCATGACACTATCTTTCATAAGTTTTAAAAGAAACTCTGAGCTAGATCAGTTTAAATCACACGTATATACTGATAGGCGTACAGATAGATTGCCAATGCGAACGGGTATTATTCATAACATTACACAGGTACATTGAGTATAAAGCAAAGGAGAATTAATAAAGACATATATACTAGGTAAACGTGCACAATATAAAAACTAATCTCAAATAGTTGAACCGAAAAACAAGATGGAGATTTTAAGAGAGGATAGCAGAGGAAAGAAAATTCAAGTAAAAATATGTTTCATGTGTTTATAGACGTCTTTGAGTTGTGTTTGGTTGAATCAAAGAGTCAACTGGATAGGAATTTGTTTTCCCCCTTAACACCAGTAGTTTTGAGCCATTTCGAGTTGGATGATGAAACAATTAGGAATCCGTTGCCGAGAGAGCTTATGATGTGATATATTAGTTTTCCTCTTTTTGTAATTCAGTGAGATAAAAACAGGTAGACAAGAGTAATAGGTAGTGAGCGAGGACGAAAGCAAGGAAGATTTTTTGTGAATATTTCAATGTTTTCAGCGGTTTTGCATATGACTATCATGAAAATATTTATATTTTACCCATGATTAACAGTTGTTTATTGGTACACGCTCATCTAAATTTATTTGAACTGAGATCTGTACTACAAAATATTTGAGATTTTTTTTAACTACTCGATACTCAAAAGAAACGAAAGAAAATTTCTATGCTGAATACTTCATGATTTTGTTGTCGCTTCAGATTTCTCATGATTTAAATTCCATTCAAATTTCGCCAAATGAAGATATTATTACACAAGCTCGATCGAATTCGCAGCCAAATGAATTAGAAATATTACTTTATGATATATATGTATGTTTTCAAATAATATTTTTTTATTCTATTTTAATTAGAATTAATAAAAAAAATACTAGGCTGAAAATGAAAATGCCATGAATGAAGAACGACGACTCACAAGTCTCAACTATTGGATAGATTTACTAAACAGAGATATTAGCATGCAACAACAAATGAACAATGGTTAGTAAAAAACAATTGTTTTTTCTTCGATTATTTATGTTTGCTCTCTCGACCCAAATGATAATCTTGCTGATTTAATTTTTTTAAAGAAGAGAAATAGCGTTTTATATATATATCAGGTTTTTATTCCGTAGCATCGACTTGTCCTCACAAATCAGTTAAGGAAGAATCATCACCGTCAAATGATGACGACAGTTCATCAAGTGATGGAGCTATGTGCTCTAAAAAACCTCATTCAAGAAAAGGTATCATCTTTATTATTTTTATTATTGGTATCAATGGTGTATTGTTTTTAACCCCACTGTAAATTTCTATCACAAATTTATTTATAAACAATGAGAATTTAGTTGAACTGATCGATTCTATTTGATATTGTAGCGTATGGTGTTTCTAATCGAGATGGTTCGATGTCGTTGTCGAACGATGACGGTGCTATGTGTTCTGGAAAAGACAAAAGACGAGAAAAGAAAAATACGGAAGGTACTTATGCTGCACCTAAATAACCAACGCTTTTTTTCTATTAATCTTTCAAAATTCATCTATATTTTAGTTGTTGAAAGGTTTTCCAATGAATTATCCATTGATCGGCCGAATGTAAGTAGAATAATAAATTTCTCTTTTGTTTAAATTGAAATTTTCTTATTAAAGACTCGTTTTATTCATTGTCTTTATGAAGCAAGTTTATATAAACTTCAATCTGCTTATTACCGTATTAATAATTTATCTCCGTTACAATATGAACATTCACACTGCTATGCTAAAACTTATAACGAGAAAGTTTGTGCAATTAGATTTAATTTGACTTTTACTTTATTAATCTTTAGGGACATCCAACAACTTTAATTCGCATTCCACTTCAATCATCAGCACAAGTACTTCCATCAGCTCCACCAGCAACACCATATTTTGCTGAAGCAATGCCACTATTTGTTCCAATGTCTATGCAACAACCACCAGTGGTACAAACTATGCAAACACAACCACCTCCAATTGGTTTTGTGTTTAATAACACTGGAATGAGATCTTCAGCATTAGGTAAAGCAAGAGAAATAAATAATCAAAATTCATGTTCTCTACGTCGACAATGATTAATTGAACGCTCTCGTCTTTCTGTTAATAGTTTTATATAGTTATTCTAATTGAGCCCCCCCACCTACCCATCAGATCTGAGTTGTCACTTAGAAAGGTCCGTTTGAGCTGAAATTTTCAGGGATGACTGGTCTTCATTAGAAACAGTCATGATAAAAATTTCAGCTCGATATATTGAACTGAGCCGAAAAGATGGCTTATTTACATACGAATTATGGCTACCCGGAGTATTCGTAAGGCTTTGCTAGTAGGAGAGAGCTATACGAGTCGCGCTTGTTTCACATTAAACCCAGCACCAATGCGTAACTTTTGTCACAACAGAATTTTAAAATTCTCTTCAGTTCGTGTATTGCAAGTATTTTACTGGAATAGGGGTCAAAATTTGGCTAAAAATGGTCACCTGCTGGTATAGAATTCGATTTTTTTAAGTTCAGGTATCAAATATAAAAAATCTGTTCAGACAAGATTTTACTTACACTTGAAGCTTCAAAATAAAAAAAAATTATTTTAATATCTTAAATCGCCTGAAACTAGTTTCATTTTTTCTGACAAAAACCTTGTTTTGAGAAAAACGATAAGTAAGTTTAAGAATCTTTTTTTTTGTTTAAACTCGAAAAAAGATCTATATGCTATATTTTTATACTGAACCTTTTCGATGATGTCATGAATAATATCAACTCGCTCCACCTATAAACGATCTTTGATATTAGCTCTATTCTTTCAACTGACTCGCCCATAGACCGAAATCACACTGAAAAAAATAAAACAAAATAAGCGACGCAAATGATCTATTACGATTTAAGTCATCTGTTTTAGATGACTTATTCGTTCATTCTGTTTTAATTCACTTTGAATTAGTCGATATGATTGGGGCCATACTTATGAATATGAAATGAAAGTTTTTAACCTAATAAAGATAAATAACATTGCTTTTAACCCTTTCAATTGGATGGAATCGATAGAACTACCATTTCTGCACATATTCATTGTATTTCTTCTTTCCTAAACTGATTTCTTTAATTATAAGACAACGATCTGTGAAGCAAGGTAAAAACAATCATCGTCGGGTCGGGAACTGCCACTTTTTTTTATTCGAAGAACATTTTTACGGAAAATAAACTTCACATTCGTGATCATCGCACTGAATAAGCTATGTCTAGATTAAATTTAAAAAAAAATACGCTATTTTGTTCAGAATTTTATACCAATTCCAACCATGCAGCTATTTTTTTCAGAAAATAGTTCTGTCACAAAATGATCTTACCGTCACTTATCTTTTCTCGAAAAACAAGACAGTACGGCTTAGTATTTTTTCTATAAATCCCTTAAAATCGAACCATTTTTAAAAACCTATATATATATTCTGAAAGAGGAGATTTTGAGGCATCTACGCATGATAAAAACTCAAACTCTAATCTTTTTGAAAAAATAAAATTGATTGCAACAATTTCTTATATCTAACTGTCAATTACAGCGAATAATACTGTTCCGCCACGATGTCGTTTACAATCTAATAAGCCTTCGCGTAAGTTATTTTTATATATTAAAATAATGCATATGCTATCAATTAACCATATATATGTACTATTTCTTCTTCTTTTATATTTACTCAGTATTGCTTTCGATAAGGTACTTGACAAGTTTTGCTCTAAAATAGATGTTTACATAATATATGTACAATATTAATATACATTATAACACATGTTTGTTTCATCGTTTTATTTTTTTTAAACTTTCGAGTTTTTATTTGATCACAAATGTAAGTTGAAAGTAGAAACATGACCAATATTTTTGATATGCATGTTTATTGCTTTCAATATTATTATGAGTGTACTGCTGAAATCAATTTTAATACGAAATGGATTATTTCTCCTTTATGTAGAACGTTCACTGACAACAACCAACAGACAAGTTTATCCAGATCTTCCGGTTCAGTCACCGCAATTTTCTGAAAAGAAACCAAATAAATTAGTTAAAGCAATATATCCTTATACAGCGGCACATAGGGATGAATTGGATCTTAAAGAAGGTTTGAACAATTTTAATTTTTGTTCAGGTTTTATTCTTATTTGCTACAGGAGATTGTATTTTATTAATGGAATGTCGACAAGATAAATGGTATAAAGGAGAATTAAACGGAAAAGTTGGTTTATTTCCTGGAACTTTCGTAACGGATGCGTAATTAGCTACTATCTTCTATATGTTTGGTTTAATCTCAAGAAAAGAAAATAACTCAATGATAAAGTATTTTAAGTGATTAGTAGAACAGTTTAAATAGTTATAGTAGCAAAAAAAACTACAGTCAAACGGAATTGATAAACGACTCAATCGACGTTGTATTTTTACTTTTATGTCTGTTCTTTGCTTGTATTAAGTTTTAAATTATTTTTTTGTCGTGTTTCTAATAAAATTCATATATTCAATGTATTTGAAGATAATCAAATTATATTACAACTTTTTATATAGATTTTGCAACTCACGATGTTTATTAGAGAAAGATTTGTTATAGATATTAAAAAAAAATAAAACTCTACTGAAAAGTAAAATATAACAGTCAAATGTGTGATTTATTTTCTGTTGCGCACTTTATCTAACAACTTTTCTTTATTCTTCATTCTGCATATTTTTCAAAGCTCAATAATGCCAAGGTAACATGTAAGATACAATTTCTAAATGAAGGCAAAGATGGATAAAATCACAAATCTTGAAGCTAATGAGAAAATGATTACATTTATTGATAAACACTACGTTGAGTCATCTAGGATGCAAAAACTCAGTCAGCGTTTTAGTTGTAAAATATTCTTCGGTGATGATACATCAGTTGATTTAAAAAGTTATCTTAAAAAAATGTTTTTTAATGATGATCTTCAACAAAGTATTCCTCTTGGAATCGTTCAAACATCTCAGGTGTCAGTTCGCTAATCAATTATAATCTACCCGCTAACAATAATATTCGTTTTCTATATTATTTATATAGAATTAAAGAAGAAGAATTGATTTTTGAAGATGAAAAAATTAATAAAATGATTTTACTTCCATCTTTGACCAAGGGGACTCATATTTGCATCTCTATTTATGGCTGTAGGTGCCACAAAGAAGAACTATAGAAGTATCGATAAAAGTTCAAGATATGTTCTAATTGAAAGCTTTCTATTTATTCATAGTTCACAATGTCTTCTCAAAGATAGGACACTAATTTGTTTTCTTATTCAGATTGAAGTCTTTAGTAACAGTAATATCGTAGATACTAGCATCAGCGTGAAATATATTAGTCTCCAATAATAATAAGCTTGATATTGCTTTGCTTTGTTAGATTAGTAGTATTTCATCCATCTTAAAATCAATTCGGCCATGATTCTGTTTGTTTATTTTTTTCAATAGTGCATTCATCTGAACTAAATAGAATTGATCATTTGATGCGCATCATATAATGAACTTAATCTTCCCAAAATATCAATTGCTTTCCGTTCAATATCATTAGACTCTAATATCATTCTAGAATATAATAGTGCAAACTAAATATTGCTTTTATTTCATTTTTGAATGAGATTTTTTTCAAGCCAACTCAAATAAATATGAGCAAATCGAATACCACTCCAACCTGCATAGCAAAATGGATTAAAAATGTGAAATATTTTATCCTATTGAATATTTCTCAAACAATACGTTGTGAGTGTTATAATCAATGTATCAAGTTTCACAGAATACTTGATTGAATAAACAAATAAATAAATAAATAGCTATGCCTATTATCAATTAAAAGTAGCTTCATAATCTGTAAATAATCAGCAAGCATAGTTGCAAGTCAAACAAAAATGTTTGAGTGATACAATTGTCTCCTTTATTCATCTGTCTATTATTAGGACATATTTCGAATAAAATTATTCATCAGATTTTTTCGAAACAACCTCTTGATCATTCGATGTAAAAGTCATCAGAAAAAAATTGAATAAACGTTACGAAGAAGTCTTAGGAATATTGAGAAATCACAGAACAAAATCCTGATGAAGTAGACGACCATATCTTTCAAAATATTTTCGATCTATATACTTCTATAGAAAACAATGCCTTTATAATTATTAATAAACCAACTCAGAAGTGAAATATTGTTTTTATCTCATGGAAATATTATAGATGGATATTGAAATATTTTATGTTTTCTAGAAACTCGTTATATATTTCACAATTTTTGGTTGACTACGATGAAGGTTATTAGAAAACAGAATTTTTATAATTTGATCAGTTTATGGTGAACTGAAATCTCACATGAAAATAATTCATATATTAAATAGTTTGAAAAATTTTGGTTATAAAAAGAAATCAATGTTCACTTTTTGATAAAAAAGAGAAAGATCAAACTTATTGTGAAGCGCCTGAAAAAAACCTGTTGTCAACAACTTCTGTTTACATTTTTTGTATCATAAGCTTGCATGTTTCATCTAAAGAAGAAACATGTGAAGAATTCATCTATTTACTAGGTAAACAATAGAAATCAGTTTTTTTTTATAGGGGTTGGTGGAAAATATCGAAAAGGAAAATATCGAAGAGGAAAAGGTCGAAACACAGAAATAAAAATATCCAATAGATTGTGAAAGAGAAAAATGTCGAATATATTGAAAGAGGCCAGCTGTAAAATTGATTTTTTTTGTTTTCATTGATCTCTCTTCGTCCGGCATATTGTATTTTACATTGAATAAAGAAAATTTTGTGGAAAGAAATATATATATTCAAAATGATCTCGAACTCGACGCCTGAAAAATGCTCACTTAGCAATCTACAATGTGAAATAACGTTTTCGATATTAATCAAAGGCAAACGATTACTAATATTTAAAAATTACGTTTTCAAATGCAATAAAACGACAAAATCAAAAATATACTGGATGTGTATAGTGAATCAGAGTGCGGTGTTTATATTCATACAAACACTACTGACGAACTTATATGTATCAATGGTAATCGTAGTCATTCTGCAAACCCTGATCAATTAGAAGCAAAACTATTACGATCAGGTTTATCATTATTAATTGGAAAGAACAAAAAAACATTTTATTATATTTTCTATTCTCTCTCTTCTTTTTTATTATTATTAAAACAGTATTCATTATGGATCAAGCCTATGAATTCGTCGTTCCGACATTTTTCTTTTCAAATTTTCATATACATCTCTTTCTCATAAATTACTTACACTTTCGACATTTTCCTTTTCGATGTTTTCCTCTTCGACATTTTCCTTTTTCTATTTTCTTTCGCCATTTTTCTCTTTCGACATTTTCCTTTTCGACATTTTCCACCAAGATCTTTTTATACATCACAAAAGTAAATCATCAGAGAACATTATTGATGAAATATTTGAATAAGAGATTGTTTCTTTTTATAGAAAAAAGAGTTCAAAACTCTTTAAATTAATTATGTAAAGATGAAATATTAATTATGAAGATATTTTTTCTTACATTTCAGTTCACGAAGTCATACAGGCACTATTTTTCTCGGCATAACTATTGTTTGAATTAAATATATATTTGAAAAAAAAAACAGTTATTTAATAAAGCCAAATAAAAATATTTTTGACCATCATTCAATGACTCATTTATTTTTCATGAGTAACTTTCAAAAATCACAGCAATGATGAATATGAAAAACATATACGAAAGAGTAAAATTCGTTGATATAGTGGAATTGTTTGAACTGCAAGTATATGTCACTGAAAACGTATTGACACAAGGTGATACTTGTTGACATTTACTGTAACATGATGTACAAGTTTCATTTATATTTAGTTCAAAATCTAAACAATTATATCCACTGCAGCAATTGCATTTACATTTGGTTCTTCCACGGACTTCACTTAAACATACGCCATTAATTTGATTTAAATAACTCAATGAACAAGTTGATGGATTTCGATTTTGACATGCTTGAGTACAAGCAGACGCAGAGCATTGTGAGGCTGAAGTTACACCCAATAATAAACTCGATGAACAAATAGAACCTGATTGACAAAATGAACATGAACATAGACTGCCTAACCAGGGAGGCATTGCCGTAGTTGTTGTTGTTGTTATCAACGGTCCCAAACAGGAACCTTGCGTTGTACCATTTTCATTTGAGATGCATTGACTTGGATATTGACTACTGCAAGCCACGGAACACGCACTTATTTCACATAAATATGATGTACTTAGGCCAACTGGTGTTGGTATGCATGTAAAACTACCTGTTCTACAACAGCGGCATTCACAATTGAATAAAGGATAAACCGGTGGTGAACATTGCACGAAAACTTGACCATATGGACTATTTGCTGCACATTGTGGATATGCACAACGACATTGTGCAGAGCACACTTCTGGCGAACAAGTTCGCACATCAACGGTACCAACTATCGTTGGTTGACAATATTGACCAAGACAACATGAACATGTACATCGACTTTGAGCTTGAATACCTGTTACTAACACAGCGATTAATAATAACACATACATTCTCTATAATATGTAATGATCATAAACTGATTCACACATGACAATATCAAAAAAACCTAGTACAGTAAAAAAAGATTTTATTTGCATACGAGAAGAAGAACGAATAAATTATATTGAATTCAAGGCAATGATATATTATCAATGTTTTACGTGACATACAATATACAATCAAATTATTGATATAAAAATAGGAATATGCCATATAAACTTATTTTCAACGTCACGAGTGATATTTTAATCTATTCGTTAAACTGATCAACAGAATATGCTGTACTATTTTGAAAAGCAACATCAAATCAGAGATATATGAATCATTTGGCATAACATGATTCTTTAGTAACATATATTGGGGTCAAACCTATGGAAAAAAAATCTTGCCCTTTATATTCAATTACAACCATGATTATCATATTAAAATACGGTGTCAATAAATAGTCCACCCATTTTTAGTCTATTTGAGTTGCTTTCAGCCATAAATTTTGAGTGACAATAGCTGAAGTATTTAGCTTTATCAAGTTGATGTGCAATTTTTGCATACTTACCTAATTGTTGATGTAGGAGTTTTATTTAAAAAAAGAGGAAAAAAGGGTCCTAGTTTAATCAAGGAAATTTATTTCAATGACTCATATTCTAAGTTGAGTATCAATATCGCATATTCTTCTTATTTTGTGTACAGATGTAATGCCTTGATCTATTTTAGTATTATTAAATATGCGATTATGGCAGACAAAAAAATGATCAAAATATAAATTAATACATCGTGATAAACATGAAATTAATTTACTAATCGTCGAATGCATTTCTGTTGAAATGAATTCCTTGGTCTAAAAACAAATCATTAATATTTTAATTTCATGCGAAATAAAATTCGCGTCTTAAATTAGATCGTTTAATATAGAATGATTGTGAAAATTTAACATCTGAATTAATTGCCAATTGCTTTCTCAGCTTTTATTTATAATGAAGTTTTATATTAAAAACAATAGATTTATTTAACATCATAAATAGTGATGTATTCTATATTTGCCATGAAGTCTTCTATGGAATGCCCAAAACAAGAGCAGAAAACGCTACTTATTTCCTTGATTATAGCGACAAACTAATTTCATATTCAGTATTAACTTGAATGCCGTTCTATGATATGGTAACTTCAATGAGTATAAATTCTTCGAACATTTATCGTTATCTATTTTTGACACTACGAGTCAAACAAAAATTCCGAGATTCTAGTTTATAAATATGAACATCGGCAACCATCATTGTTTTGCATTTTATAACAATACATAAAAAGAAGATAATACTTGACTTTTGCTCGTTTTCATGCTAGAATATTAATGAAATGTATGATGCTAAAACCACTTTGCTAGTACATGATTAGATCTAAAATAGTTTAAATAAAAAAATAAAGGGTATATATTAAATGTGCTTTAGTTGCTCTACACGTTAATATTGCGTGTTGGATCCATCTTTTCTAATATCCAGCACAATCGCCTCCGCCAAGTTGACAGGATTCTTTCGATAGATCAGAGTGAGCACATTTTGGTTTGACATATCACATGATACAGGATAACCAATACAATGAAAAGCCCCCGCATAACTGCATCTACAAGCTAGACTTGGAATTATGACTTTTATATCGTTACAATATGAACTATTCAGTTATTTGCATGACACAACGGTACCATCACAAGTGAATGGGCTTCGTTCAGTACATTTACATGCTGTAAAGACTGGTGGTAGCAGCGAAATGACGCACTCACCCCAATCCTAGCTACAATCACATGCATTTTGTGATGACACAATTTTCGTCGATACAGAAATAGAATCAGAGGGTTTAGCAATTGTTAATTCCATTGAAATTACTAGTCCCCTCAGGAAAGCAGCTCGATTCGTCATGATTCCTTGAACACCATGATTGATGTAATCTTGCATTGATGTTTGTTTTTCCGAAGTCCATATATATACCAAACCATTTTCACCGTTTTCGTCGCCTGTAACAGCTGCTTCGATTCCAGAATAGAATGTTTTTGGGATACATGACGAACTTCCTGTTCCATAGGCGCGACTGCTTGTAAAACGATAAAGCATTCCCATTACATCAATATAATCAACATTTTCTTCATCGAATGTGAAGAAATAGCGTGCCTTGTATGGTTGCTGATGAAATTATAACTTTTCCTTGGTATCCATGATCACAGAGATGACTGTCTAGAAAAGGAACAACGGCTGAATCAGCTTTACCAAGTGTAGCTTCCATATTTGCATTGACTTTTGAATTGATGAAAACCAAAACGATACGACGAAGACGTGCTATATGTTGCACATGAGTAACAGCATTCTTGCTAGCTTCAGGCCCTGAACAACTATCTTGAACAGAACTACATATGTGATCGGATCCAGCGGCGCAGATACAATCGTAGATACGTCTATGTTCAAAATTTGTAGGATTTCCATCATCATCAAAATTCAGGTCTTTTTTCGATTGCATTTGTCCCCTGTGATACGGCCTAATCAAGAGCTGGTCCACTATTTGTCATATGTGAAATAATGTAGAATGGATATTTAGATTTAAATGCGTATATCACAATTATGGGCGAAAACTCCACGAAATATTAAAAAAATGATAACAGCTTTCAATGAACAATAAATCATTTCTATTCGATTATACGTATATACGTACGTATGTATATCTATGATGAAAATATTATTTTAAATATAGATAGATATTAGAATTTGAGCAATCAAGTTCACACTCAGTATTCGAGTTATGTTAAAAAACTATAATTTTTCCTGGTATAGAGTGAAAGTAGCTGCTGAAATAAAACAATATTAAAGTACTCTATATTCTATACGTTTCTTAAGCTATTAAATATATTACTTAGTAAGTGATATTTAAAATGAGAGAATAAAATTTTTGTTTTCCATGAAAATAGAATGCTACAGAAACAGAAATTCAACGAGAATGTATTAGGAGCATTTCTTCTAACAAAAAACATGCTGAATATTTTTTTTATTTCTTACTCGTAAACTTGGTTTCTAATTGTGTTGATAAAACTAGTGAAATTCTATATTATTGTCTCTAAGAGTATAGATCGTAGAAAGATATGAAATAAAAATAATGCCACTTAGCATCTGCTTCGTTGTTTGTATTTATTAAAAATGACTTGAATGTAGCTTGTTTAATTTTTCATGAATATTTAGAAACTACTAAACAATAGGCAGAAATAGGAGAGAAGTCAACATGAATAGTTATAATTCTGATAATGTTCTTGTTTTTACTAAAGTAATACTATATGTCTTAATTCAAGCTAATACAACTAATGGAATTTCTACGAAAGCAAATTATTACTATTCGAATACGTAGTCAGGCAGCAAAATATAGTTATGTATATTCTTTAGGAAAAACTAGTAAACTATCACCATCCTAACTAATAGTGAGAGATAAAAATAACTTTACATGTAAACAAGATAATTGCTAATGAATGCGTAGATAAAAATAGTCTATTGATCAGCGATTAACAAGTGCTACAAACTTTATTTATCTGTTCTAGAAAAATAAACTATAGATAAGCTGTAATCACATATATGTTTATATTTTCGTTCACGCCAATCAAAAAGAAGGTCCACATTTAAATTGCAGCAATCATCATAGTGCTACATAATATATGCATACTTAAGAAACGCTTACAATAAAAATTTCAAGCAGAAAATCGACCAATAGAATTCACTTACAAAAATAAGTATTTCACAAGCAAACTAATATTTTTAACTCCGACTGTAGAAATCACTGTTAAAAGAAAAGGAATCTTCGTTAGAGTCTACTCAAAATCACTGCTTTATCATCGTTAAAACTATATAATACAAGAAGGTAGACTATGAATATAATAATTGTTTTTATCTTTTCATACGATTACTAATAAAAAAAAACGCAACATACAGTACAGTACAAAGGTAATATATCTAAATCAATTATATTTTAACCTTGAAAATTTACATTGTCGAAATTTTCGAGTAGAATATCGACAGGTCGATATTTTCACAGTGTTCTGATGAGGGTTGTTCGTGGTTTTCACTCACTTTTAACAACCCGTGAAGATTCAAGAGTGAGCAGGAGTGTGTGAGCAACTTTAAGGAAAGAAAAAAACTTGCATACATACAATCTATTTGTAATTCGTTCTTTACTATGAACATTTTGTAATTGATAATTGGTACATAGAATAATAACGTTAACTTATACTTTGATACCGTTGTTCGTGCTAATTCATGACAATTTTCGATCGCAAGAAAAATAATTCATGATTTTTATTACAATATGAAAAACGGAAGATTTCTCTTTATATTGACTCGAAAATTTTTGTTGTCGTATAAAACTTTTGTGACTTAGAAACCATTAGAACAATTGTATGTCAACTAATCAACCGAAATTCGGTCCGTGAAGGATTAGTTCAGAGCTCAAAGAAAAATTTTGTTTTATAACAAAGCCAAGTTCGATTTAGATATATCGAAATTTGATATAAAGTCAAAAAGAATTGAGCTTCATGTCTCTTGAGGGTACATGATATTAAAGTATATATTTATAATATACAACACGAGTAGAATTATTGATTCAATCGCATACAAAAACACACGACAAACAGTCTTTTTTTTATTAGAAAATAATTTGAATTATATGTTTAGATGTTTCTTCTTCGCTCCATGTGATCTGAAAACTAGTATCAGATAGACTACTGAATTCGAAGGCTAGCTTTTGACAATAGTTATTGAATTTCTTCTCTAAGTCAATATCGATTAATGCCATTAATTGATAGCAGAGAATAAAAATTTTAATTTTTTTGATTTTTTTTATCAATGTGCATAAAAAACCAATTAATATATGATCAAATGATTCATTGAATTGAATGTAATGTATACTAAGATGCAAACTTCTTAGATTTGCTATAATTCTACGACAATTTTCGAAATAATCCGATTTATATTGATGACGATTCCAAATTAATTTCAATACTTTAAGATGTTCCAAAACAAATAAATTTTGATTGAATAAAAGGACAGAATTATTTTTTTCTATTTCAAGATGTTTCAATTTTGGCATATGGGATAAGAGTAAATAAATAATTGAATGATTTGGGTCATCTAACATTTTTACAGATAGTATTTCTACATTACTATTAGCGGTACATGAATGATAATTGATAGTAGCAATTGGTCGCCAAAATTTGAATCGGCATGTACGAAGAGTTGATGTAGTCAGTATAGTTTCGAGTAATTTTTGTGTTGGTATGCATGTTAGAGAAATATATTCAAGTGAAGGAAGTTGTTCTAATGCACTACAAATAGATGGAATGTTTTCTAAACAAACTTGAATTATTAATGATTTTAACTGGATAAGTTTTGTTGAATAAGATTGAAGAAATTGAGTAAGATCATGAGATGCATGCTTGGAAGATGATTGAATACGTATCAGACGATCAAGTATTGATTTGCACCAACGAACATTGTTTCTCGTTGCTGATTCTATTTGAACATATAATAAAAGATGTTTTGAAGTAAATAATTTGTCGAAATAATTATTTAAATTGTAGAAAGCTTGAAATAGCTCATGAACTTCTATATAGGAAAATATTGATAACCACAATTCAATAGGTAAATGTTCGGCACGTGATTTCATTTTTCGTTCAATTTTTCCAATGTTACACCAGTATGCAATCAAGTAAAGTACAAAAGGTAAATATTGGAATATAAATTCATTACTAGCGACATACTTGAGAATCCATGTTACTAACAAATCAAGTCTTACAAAGATTTGCCAATAAATAGCATTATACTGTTTTTATTCAAAATAAATCAACAACGAAGAAATGTTCCGGTTTGTTACACTATGTTCTTCGATTTAAGTAGTAGAATCACATAATTATTGATTGGAAACCAATTTTTCCTCATCCAAATATTATGAATAATTGTCATTGTTGCAATAATAGTCATGCCAGAGCTCTATTGTGAGTGTATTATTCCCCTGAGAGTTCAGCTACTTTCTCCAGGCGCCAGTCAAAAGAAGATAATTTTTCCTATGAACAACATTGACCTTTAGTTGCGATGTTGTACATTCGATAACTATGTTAATTCGTCGTAGTCTTTTAAGAATTGACCACCACTGATAAATTAAATGATTGAAGACATCGTCAACACAATAATTATGAACAAAGTTGAAACTAAGACGTTTTAAATTCGGAAGAATTTGATATAAACTTTCAAAAAATTTAGAATCAGATTTAGTCGAGGACCAATTTATTTTAATGGTTTCAAGCTCTGACAGAATAAATAATGATTTTACAAATAGTGAATCTCGATTGTAGAAATAATCATTAGGATTAGTTATTTCAAGCCTTTTCAATTTTGGCATTCGATTCAGAAGTAAATCAATAATCGAGTTATGTGAATCACCTTGAATTTTAATATAAAGTGTTTCTATGTTACTCATTTTATTCGAATAAATCTTGATTGTTGTTGATGATCGTGAGAAATCTAATCGACATACACGTAATGTAGGTGCAGAGAGAATAGCTTCCAGAAAATGTTGATTTGGTACACATTCCATGGAAAGAAGTTGAACAGATTTCAGCTGTTTTAAAGTGTTACATATCGTTGGAATTTCTCTTCCGCGTAATGTAACTTCTAAAGATTTCAATTGAATCAAATTTGTACAATGCCAACGAAGAAATTCCGATATATGAGAGGTTTTATGTTGAAGGATAGGTCGACGACTAACAATACGATGAAGTATGAAATCAGACCAATAGGATTGAATCGAATATTCAAAAGGATTATGGTCATTTTCCCCCAAACGCATATTAAATAATAAATGATCAGAGGCAATTGATTCATCAAAATAAGTATTCAGATTAGTAAATACTTGAAGAAGATCATGTGCTTCCAAATAGGAGAATATTGAGGCCCATAATTCAACAGGTAATTGCTTGATCAACGTTTTCATGTTAATTTTTATTCCAATAAACATTTTAGGGACTCGAATATGCACAATATCCATGATATGATTTATTATGACAAGGCTGAATACGACAAATACAACAAGAAGAGAACAGATGGCGATGGAAAAGCAAGCAGCTTCGCTGTTGACATGTTTTATTTTTCAGAATAGTCGATTTGAATATATTTTTTAACAAATTGTCTTACAATGAACTCTGTAGTAAAAATCAATGAATCCATGATTCATCTCTTTCGATTCTAATATTTTCCATATCAATTCTATATGCTTTTCAAAATACATAGTTACAGTATAAATCTCACTGGGAAAAAAACCTTGTCTTTCAAAAGACAGATTTACATTTCTACTCAAATGTTGTGTTTAAACCGTACGATGCTGAATACATGTGTGATCCAGAACAAACAAGCACAGCGCAGATGAAGAAGAAATTGAAATCATTTCATGCAATCGTCTAATTCAATCATATTTCACAGATTTATTACTATACGAGCTCTCTGTTGCATTTGCTACTCCATATAATCTAATATAAGATATTGAATATTTATGCAATGAATACATTGATGCACCCAATTGGTTCAGTGAAACAACTACCTAAGCGCATAGACGCATGCTATTGAAATTTATGAAACTATTTATTAATTTTGAATGAACATATTGCTAACAATTTACACTTAACTCTCCTATTTTAGTATTTATTAGTCGGCTTTATTCGATGGTAATATTTAAAATCTATAAATATAAGATGATGACTGCAATCAATATTTTTCACTGGAAATACTAAAATCTAGTCGTTCTTTTAAGTTGGACCAGTACAAAGATCAGTATTTTCGTGACCTAGAAGAAACAAAACGAAGGTGATTTATTGTTTCAAAGCTACAATTAAAAAGAAAAGAATGTTTGAGAGTCTTATATCTTCATGTCATCTTAAAATGCTTTAGGAAATGGATAGAATTCCTATCGATGATGATGAACTCGTCCTATTACTCGGATTGACTTCTAGTTTTCGTATTGTTTGCATTTTTTGTTCCAATATGATGATGGTTATGAAGAGGAACAGAAACAAGGCTTTCATTTCCATTATAAGACGAGTACAAGAGAGAACTTTTGTATCTTACAGCTCAATTGACTTCAAGGCTGCAATTGAAAGATAAAACCAAAATAGAAAACTTATTGTTATTGTATGCTGAAAGAAAATACTATTTGAATATAGAATCCTGAAGAACAAACTATTCAATCATTTTCTCTCGTGTAGAAATCGATGCGATATTAACCAAATCAATTAAAAGTTAGTAATAGAGAATCGATTGCAAAAAAAAAAGTTTTCACAACAATGTTAAAATGATTCCTATCACTAGCGGATGGTACAAACAAAGCTTTTCAAGTTTTGTTTTTATAACAATAGGTTTCAAGGTCTTATGTGAACTGTAAAAACTAAGATTATCGTAGTACATCGGTAACTACTGAAGGGTAGTAAATTTTTCTTAGAACTTTTCAAATGCATTCATTGGAACATTCTTTGATAGTACACAACATTTCAGAAGAAGTCTGTTTATGAATTTACTATACCGACTTTTTTCACAAGGAAAGTTAGAACTCGTTGAATAAGAAAATTTTCAGCATCGACTATTACAGTATATTCTTAAGATACTGAGCAGCGCATTTTTTGTCGATGACAGAATTTCTAATAAAAGATTTACTATTTCGAATTCAGTCGAAGATAGATTGTTTAAATATAGATGTAAAAAGCTTCTACCAACAACGCTGTTCGTATGGTCTTATACATTTGTATGTGAATCGAATGGCTTTTTTTTCTTTCTCATTTTGGTCCTTAACAAATAATTCCATTTCTAAAACAAAAGCAGCAATCATGTTAGTGAAACGATCTAGCCACTGTGTATATCGAGTCAATTGAGAGTCTTAACATATCTAGATTAACAATCATATTCAAACAGAATCCATCGTCTATTCTATGGAAATATATTGTAAGAATTATTTTGAAAACCATTCATCACAGAAAGTAGTTCTACAAGCGATGAATGATTGACATCTTTAGGATTTCCGAAACCTTTTTAAAATGCTTAGAGAGGTTCCATATGATATGCATATATTTCCGACAGCGTTCCTGGTTGTACCTAATTTACAAACTACATAAGTAATTTTGTTTAAAAATGACTTGTTTCACTGATAGTATAGAGTACAGGCATCAGCAATATACTGTAATAGTTTCTTTTATGTTACTTGCTCGCAAGACATTTATAAAAAACAATGAAAAGGCTAATATAGCGATGTTAAATACAAGTTTATCACCTGTTGAGCTCAACTCATGTATACTGGGAAGACCAGGAATGCCAGTTGCTTGCTCAATTGCTCGAATGATCGCACGTTCAATAGTTTCAGCTGCCATAATACCGATTAAATTAACATCAGAGATAGGAACAAGCCCAGTTGCTAACGTAAAGATGACATCTCCATCGAACATGGTATGAATAGGATTGATTGCTCGAGAAAATCCATCGTGAGCCATCTGTGAGACTTTTTTCGCTTGAGCTTTAGTGAGTTTGGCATCTGTTGCTACGCAGGCAATTGTTGTTGCAGTTCCAAACCCAGAATTTCTGGTAATATTGGCACCGATGCCAATTAAGGTGTGTATTGTATTTAGAAATTGCTTGCCATCCAAGGTCCGAGCACCAGCTATTAATTTGCCATTTTTATATACATCTCCAACGGCATTAACAGCAACAAGTGAGCCAACTGTGACTGAAACATTCGTAGTCGGATCTCGAACAGTTAGCGACGTACTGCCAAGCCCTGCTTTCATGGCATATTTCATTCCAAATAACTTCCCGACACTAGCGCCAGTACCAGCGCCTACGTTACCCTCGATGACACGTGAGTTGTCAGCTGCTAAGCAAGCTGAGTAGCCCAAGTTGGCATCTGGCACTACAAATGAATCATTACCAACACTCAAATCATACAATACAGCAGCTGGTACAATAGGAACTGGACGCTCAGAAGTTTGAAAGCCCATCTTCTTTTCAACGAGACATCGAACTACCCCAGATGCTGTATCAAGTCCAAATACACTGCCACCAGATAGAACAATAGCATTAACAATCTGAACCATATTTATTGGATCGAGAAGATCAGTTTCGCGTGTTCCAGGGGCTGAACCACGAACATCAACACCACCGACACATGTCGTATTACACAATATAACGGTACATCCGGTTGGTCGTTCAACTTTCGAACTGTGTCCAACAAGAATGCCTCGCACATTCGTAATCGATCCACCAAAAGGATCAGTCTTGATAAGTTCTCCACTGAGTTTAGTTGAATGTCCACCGTCAAAAAGTGTGATCAGTAAAAATACATTCAGATAGGTTACTTCAATGAAGTTGATTCCAATTTTCGACATGATTTATTGAACTACAAAAAAAACAGAAAACTGTTGCATTGAATAGAAAAGAGTTTGCAATGGATATGAGACAACTCATATACACCGCCTGTCTTTCTACTTCATATTCATATTCTCCAATCAAACAATCATTTCAATACACTATAAAACAAATGGATTGTTTTAAGTGATTTTTATACTAGGTGAAGTCCTATTACAACGTACCATTCTTTAAGAATAAGTGTTGATCAGACTGTTACACTGGAGAAAAACTCGAAAGAGAAATCCAAATACTAGTCAATAGCTTTCTGATATCGCAACAAATTTTAAAACATGATGTCAGTTGGATTTTTCATTTGAGTTATGTCACTCTTACTTTCGATTGATGCTGCTCTGAGAATTGTTCGTATTACTGATAGAAACGAGTTGGAAGAATGAAGTGATAGATGCCAACAACTTCACTTGTTTTTCGTATTTTCATTGAAAAGACTCTTCAAGGACATAAAAAAGCACATTACTTGCAGTAAAAGGAGTAAATAGATAATGGTGCATTAAATATTATAGAAGAGAGCAACGAAATGGCACAGATAGTACTGGTGCTAGATTCTAATTGGAAAAGGTCGAATGATAAGAAACACGAAAAAACCAATTATAGAGAAAAACATTAACTTTTAACTTTATGTATTGAATTCAATAATTCTGTCTTCTGTCGAAGTATATAGTTTTTTCCCTAGAAGATGTTTTCGAACGTTCTTTCTGAAACTGAGAAAATCTTAATTAATTTGCTACATATCAATCAATGTATTGCAGATTATACGTCAATTGTACTTCACGAATTTTTCTCTTTTGGTTCTTATTTATCTTGAACTCTCTTAGTTCTTATTTTCTCTGTTGAATTCTGAAAATGTCGAAATATGCAATGTATACGAGGCGATAACTTATTATTTTTTATACATTTCACTACAGCATTTAGATAAAAATCAATATTAACTGAAACATTCTCATCGATTCAATCTAATGGATTTTATTACTTCATCAAATTGTATCCTGTGATCTATACAATCGTACTTATTACATGCTTATTTTATAAAGCATTATGAAATGATAGACTTGATGACGGAAGACATTCAGAATTGTAAACATCAGATCAATGCTGAATACTTCCTCGGACGACAATGACTTCTAAAATGAAAGCTATCAAAGTATATTTCGATCAAAAAACTGCAAAGAAATAAATTTCAACATGCATATGATGAACTTAAAATCTAATAAAATAAACACCATAGTAAGGGAGCCCTATAGACTCCTGTATGATCAGTACTGACGTATACTTCTCGATATTGCTTTTAGTTGATGTTATATTTCAATTTAAACATTTGATTATTAATTTATTCATTAGGAGGAATCTTATCGAACCCGAGTAATTAAAAATGAGCTAGAATTTATCGAGTGTTTTAACAAACAATTAAAAAGAGAATGCATTATCAAAAGAATTACATCTTACAACCATTACAATGGTTTAAAAGCATAATTCTACAATTGAAGTAACTTTGAATTAATACTTTTACAACGATTTCAAGCAGCCATCATATTTTTAAATAAGAAATAACTCATATCAATTGATTCATATTTGCCAGCGTCCATGTTGTTGTGCGCATAGAGTACGTTGAAATTACTAGATCATCCAAAACATATTAACTCTTGCACAATTGTATCGTGTTCTAATTAATTCTCTACATGTGCAATCATCTCTCTTGACGAAAACAAAGCCATAACATGTTCCTTTTATGAAGCGAAGAATATTCAAGTTAATTAAACTTTAAATGTTGTTTTTGTTTCTAAATATCCAATGAATATTATTGAAAATAGTGGTAAAAAAATGAATAGTAATCTCTTCTGTGAATTGGTTTACTCTATATCGCTGGGTACAGTTTGACATTCTACAGAGCTTCAAAGTTACGATATATTGTATAGAATATAACATACACACATTTCCCTGTTGTTTTCTAATATAAAATATTTATTGCTAGCACCTATAGTGAAATCCTACATAGTTAGTAAAAAAAAACATTCGCTGAATAAGTATAGGGTAGTTTGCCGTAATATATATATATATATATGCAACAGTCCCTTTCTTTTTTACTAAACTTGTTGCAACTATCATGATAGTAACGTTGATGCGTCTTCAATTTATTGAAAGAGATTTTATTATGTCTGTAACGAGCCAGCATGATTTTTGAAATATTGAGTTTGGCTTTTGTCAGCATTTGTAGTTTATAAGATAGAATTCTGCATGGGACAGAAAAATAAAAATATTCTACTTCAGCTTACTGTGACGGTAAACCAGTGCTAGTTTTTAATTGGTTAGCTATGTCAAGTCTAGGTCAAATAACGAGTACTCTGAAAAAAATAAAGGAGGTTTACAGAACCCTCCGAAAAGGTTCTGCAGATTTTCAAAATGCTCCAAATGTGTTCAAAGTCTCAAAAAAAGGATAAAAATTTTGACAGAACCTTCAAAAGGTTCTGTCAAAATTTTTATCCTTTTTTTGAGACTTTGAACACATTTGGAGCATTTTGAAAATCTACAGAAGCTTTTCGGAGGGTTCTGTAAATCTCCTTTATTTTTTTCAGAGTATAACCGAAAGAGGCGGTTTATGTGCTTTTCTGGATGGTGAAACAGTGCTGCCTTTCGCTAAATTTAGTTTTGATGCGATTCATCATTCTTGGGTATATCATGGACTGACACCTACTCGATGGAGAGAAGTTTTATTAGAGCAAAATAGAATTTTGAGACCTGGAGGATATCTATGGATATACGATGGTTTATTATATGCTCAATTAAAGACAATCAAGTACTTACTTTTACACCAACTAGGTTACAAAGTTTTATATGAAAATGAAATAAAACGAAAATCCATAACAGTAACCTTTGCATCGAACCCTTACGAAGTGTGTTGGGAGTAGGGGTGGGCCATTAACATTAATTTTATATTAATGTTAATGTTTCTCATTAACCATTAATATTAATGCTTAATGTTTTCTAAGAAAAACTTAATTCATTAATATTAATGATTAATGAAAA